AAATATACACCAAGATGGCAGCACGCCTGCGCAGAACGCACTGTTGGCCGATACGGCCGCTGCTCGTTCTGCAGTCTCTTTGTGCAGTTTCGGATTTGGAGGCTCGTTGCCTCCAAATCCGAAACAGCATTAAAATTTGCTTCCATTGATGAAACAAATGAAAATGTTTTTCATTTGTTTCGCTGAAACTATTTTTTTTGCCCTGCACATGTCTATTACACACTGAGATTAGGAACTTTAGGAGGTTTTTTTAGGAGCTTGGCCATTACAGGTAATAGTCCCATAGTTAACCTTCTCCAATAAGAGTGCTAGGTCTGACTAAGGGCCCATTCACAATAGTACAGTGCGTACATTGCTTTTGCACCTACCCGTGTTCTGTTGCGCTAGGTGCGTTGCGGTTCGTTGGTAGATCTCATTGAGCTGGTCATATAAAAAGTAGATCTTAACACATAAAATTGTGGGTACCCCTTCTCTACACACTGTTGTTGAGCCAATCTGAAGGCCACATGAAGTTTGGAGGTCTGTAGCTTTTACTCCGCAGACAGTTGGCAACTTCTGCGCACTGTGCGCTTCAGCATGCGCTGACCCTTGCTGTTGTTCCCAGTTGCTTCCACTTTGTTATAATACCACTAACAGTTGACTGTGGGATATTTAGTAGCAAGGAAATTTCATGGAACACCTGAATCCAATGATTTGGAGGGGTGTCCGAATATGTTTGGCAATATAGTGTATGCTCAGCTTCTCTTTGTTCCGTTCCCCCTGGCAGCCCATCAATCAGATACAGATACAGATCTCTCCTTTGGTGTGTGTCTGTGTCTGTCCTCCTGTATCTTCTTTCTTTTTTTCCAGTCCCACTTTTAACTTTCTCCTAACTTTTATCACTCAAAAATGTAGGAGGAGAAAGCTTATCTCAACTTAATTACGACGTCAGGAGGGTCTCACTTTTCTTTAAAAATAATACCTAATTTCCTGAACTCATATACACAATTACCTGAAGAGGGCAATGTTGGACTAGGAATAATTTAGGATTTTCCCCTAATTCCAATATTATTCCATAAAATGACCTTTGACATAGGCTCATTAAAAAAACATCAATTTAAGAAATGGCTATCTATTTTGACATTACTTGTTGGATATAATGTAGACTATTGTCTCTTTAAGACCATATATTTGTTGAGAAAGTTTGGGCTAAGAAAAAAATTCTCTTATACATAATTGAGAATGAAGTCATACAGTTATAGCCAAAAATATTGGGAAAGAAATGAGGCCATTGGAGTTTTGCGTGGAATGTGTCAGATTTGGCTTTTTTCTCTCCACTTTTTTGTGTCATACCAATACAAACAAATGAAATAAACAAGAGAATGCCTAAACATTTGTAATTGCAAAAATGTTCCGCGCAAAGTGGTGCATTATCTGACAGAAATGCAGGGGTGCCAATATTTTTGGCCATGACAATGTATTAGGACAGTGATTAACTCACATTTTTTCACGGATTACAAAAATAACAATATGCCTAATGTAATTACTTGTATTTGTAAAAAAACACCATATTAATAATATATACTAATATATGTCAATAAGTACAACTAAATAATATATATATATAAGGTATATAGGTTGAATATTGCATTAAAAAACAATATAAAATTACTCAAGCAAATATTTAGGTGCTTCATGCAATAATAATAATGCAATTGAAATTATTGATAATACCAATAATAATACTGTATACAAGGTAGCTTTTAATGTGATTTCTTTTTCATATTTTGTAATGATGAGAAAGGGAAAAAAAATATCATGGTGAATGTTTCTTTCGTCCTTTGTTAACCACTTGCTGACCGCGGTATTTACACCCCCTTCCTGTCCAGGCCATTTTTCAGTATTTAGCGCTGCTGTACTTTGACTGATGTTTATTCCGTCATACAGCGTCATTCCGTTGTACTGAAATACATTTTATACAGTTTTTTGGGGACAGATAGAGCTTTCTTTTGGTGGCATTTAATCACCACTGGGGTTTTTATTTTATTTTATTATTTTAGGATACAGTTATTATTACCCAATTTTTGGGTAAAATGTAAAAGATGGGGGTCACATCGGGTAAATAGACACCAAACATGTGAAGCCTTAAAATTGCGCGTGCCCACGAAATCGCACAAAACTACCGTAGCCAAAATTGGCCATAGGCTACGCTTTAAAAGATTTTACCGCTCATCAGTTTAGTGTTATCAGTGATTGATGGCCCTAGAATTATTGCTCTCCCTGTGATGTTCGCGGCGATATGTAACATGTGCGGCCTAATTGGCACAATCGCCATTTTTGCGCATCTATGTGGGGGTGGGGGACTTTAAAAAAATGTTGTGGGGTTTTTTGTGTGTGTAAATTTTATTTTTTGTGAGCAATTTCTTTTTACACTTAACTTTATTGTTATCACATAGGGGGATAAGAATCCCCCTATGTGATATAAAATTACAGTGACAGGTCCCCTTTATGGAGACAGGGGTCTCTAAGACCCCTAATTTCACCTAGGGACCCCCAGAGAAGCTGATGAAGTACAGATCTGCTTCATCAGCTCCTCTCCGGTTTCTGTACCGGAGAGTGACAGAGGAATGCGGAAGTGATGTATTAGACATCGCTACCTGCATTCAGAGACAAGAGGGAGATTGTGTACTGATCTCCCTCCGTTCTCCGTGCACGGAGCCACATGGAGCCACACTGCCGGTCCCGGATCGGACGCCTGGGATTGCGGGGATGGCGGGGGCATCGACCACCAGAAGAGGTAAGGAGGGGGGCCCATAGAGACTTGCATCATACAAGCGATCGTGCGTCTCTACAGACGCCGGACCGCTTGTATGTAAACGGCCAGCGCTGGCCGTTCAAAATTCTGTCGGTTTCCTGCTCGCGCGCGGGCAGATGGACATCTAAAGAGGCCCACCCGCATCCAGAAGACTACCGCCCGGCCGTTTTTCAACGTTCATAGGACGGGAGGTAGTTAAGCTTCAGACATGGCACCTACATTAGTCTCACAGTTTAACACAGTCTGGTACCATGGTCAGTCCTTATCTCGTCATTGTTGTCTGGTACCGCCATATTTTACAACCTGGGAATGTATGTTGTAAGGCTCTAAGAATTGCTGATGTTAGAGCCTTTGTCCAGAAACCATGAACTCAAATTCACCTTATATACTGATATAATATAAAGAACAAAGATGCCTTCCAGGATGCCCATATTACATTATGTAGAATAATAAGTATAAGACTTATAGTTTAATTCCTTTTAGCACCAAATAGTTCTGACAACGGCGTAATGCCTCCTAACTAGTTTTATTACACAGGGTTTTTTCTACCTAAAGAAACCATCCACCCATCAGCAGCCGCAACAGATGTCACAGTAATCAGCAAAACAGTCAGTGTCACATGATGTTTTCTCAATATTTTATGCCAATGAACCTTAGAATGGACCTTGGATCCGAGCTTGGGATAAGTACATCTTTGCTTCCTCATCAAAGTTAAGTCATCCTGGCCTGGCTATTGAAGATGGCCAAAAATCTGGAAAAAACTGTCAAGAAGATGTTGGCACTAGCAAAGTGTCACATTACTGGAGAGAAAGTGAATGCAGTTCTATTTTAATTTTTAATAACAGGTCTTCATTCAATTTATTGTTATGAATTTGATGACGATTGTCAGATTGATTCAGGATTACAAACTTTTTTTCTAACAATTGTATATTTAGCTAAATGTGTACTGTGCGTGATACATCATGAATGCTGCTGCCAGACTCATCCACCTTACCAACCATTCAGTGTCTGTTGCTCCTCTGCCAATCCCTCCACTGGCTCCCAACTGCCCAACGAATAAAATTCAAAATACCAACAACATACGAAGCCATTCACAACTCTGCCCAAAGTGTCTCCCATCTTCTAGAACCCCCTACCCCAATCTATCTGCTTATCCCCGACGCTGTCCACCTTTAGGTGATCCTTAAAAACTCATCTCTTCAGGGAAGCCTATCCCCCCTTAACATAACTGCCCTTTTACTTCTACTAACTCAATCTAAACAATGATTAACCTTTTGTATCACTTGCTTCTCCTACTAGATTGTAGGCTCCCATGAGCAGGGCCCTCCTAACCCTATTGTACTGAAATTGTATTGTAACTGCACTGTCTCCCCCATTTTGTAAAGCGCTTTGCAAACTGTTGGTGCTATATAAATCTTGTATAATGATAATAATAATACATCAGTCATGCATTTTTGTAATTATGTAAGAAGGTTTTAGTTGGCGTGTATTGGAGCAATAGAAAACAAAGAGAGTAAGATTTCACACCCCAAATAGATTGACTAAAAGGAATACGAAGAGTAGGTTCCACACAAGAGCTGCATGGTCTTGTGAGGAACACACTAGAAGCTGGCTATACCAGAGGGAAAACCTACCTGAAACACTCGGCTCCCTCCATTTCTCATGTAGTGATGTCAACTGACGGTCCTTTTTGACTCCTCCATGATATATAATTTCCCCTGAAGAAGCCCAGTGGGGCGAAACATGTCGGGTTTTATCTGAATGAGTCATCTTTATGTCCTATTTTAATAACAATTGTTGACTTGATGTGACATTTATACTGCATGTAAAATAGACCAACTACTTTTTAACTTTATTTATTTCTAATTATGTAATAAATGAATTCATATTTTTATGCATTTAGAGAGTTTATAGTATTTCTTAAAAGCCCCTCCCCTTTCGTTAATTGCATACCTTAAGGTGGAACCTACTCTTTTTTGTCATTTTTGTAATTATGATGATTTCACTGACTTTCTGTTAGCTACTGTTCCAATCGGTGAGTGAGAATATAGTTTATACTGTAGGTTTTTTCTAGGATCGGTAACCATTTAAGGATCCTGTCAATAATGTTAAACATTTATAGAATTATGCCTTATTTTTGTTTTAAAAGCTGACAAAACCTCTATCTGTGCATTTTAGTGCTTTACATTTTTTTTTGTATTTCCAGGATAAAGTTTTGCGTATGCTGTATGTGTGGGCACTCTGCAGAGACCAAGATGAACTTAATTCTTATGCAGCTTGGAGATTATTAGATATATCATCTTCTGCCTCTGAACAAATCCTCTGAAAATCGTGTTGTTCCTATTTAAAGATAGACTTCTAGATAAGCAAATATTGTCAAAAAATAACAGGCCTGTGTATCAGGCCTGATACTTGAATATTGGTGTGCTTTGTGTATATTTTTACCATATCTGTACAATAAATTCTTGTGAAACTTTGTCACTGTGCAGGAGCTTTCTGTAATAAACACTGCTGCTCTCTCCTCTTGTACAGAGTGACTTGTATCTGCCCCTCTTTGTAGTTATCTGCTATAGTGGGTGGCTGTGCTGGGTCCCTCCCATAGCTTTGCTCTCTATACAAGTTTTTACATGGTAATAACTGTTGGTTATGTGTTTAGATGAAGTACTGAGATCTTGAGAAATGCTGAATTAAGTTTTACTTGCTTATAAGGACATTACATCAGAATACAGCATTAAACAGCATACAGAGAGAACTTCCTATGTATCATAGATAAGTATGCATATGCAGACTAGCATAGACTAGAATTGCACTACAGCGCCATCTACTGCTCAAAAATACATAATTACACAATTAATACAATCATATATATGCTTTTGCATTTCCAGCACCCCTTCTCAACAGCATATGCATTGCTATATGAATTTTAGCTTCTCTCGAAGGAAACTGACAATCCTTTAGCAATGGCTTGGTGAGTGCGTCCACAGTCAGTTCTTTGAATGTCGATGATGGCTTGCTCTTGAGTATCCAGGTTTTGTTTTCTTTAAGTGGTTTTATTTCTTCTTTTGCTGCCTTTCTCCATTGATTGGCTTTGCATTTTGGTAATTTTTCTGTCTCAAGTTTTCTGGTTCAAGTATGCTATGTGTCTTAGCAGTTTGACAGCTTGCAGGGAGGCATTCCCTTTGTCGTCCGAGTGGATCTTCTAAGGTTCTTTAGGTTGTTCAGCAGAATTTAACATCGAATTTGACTTATCCATTGTGAGTTCCACCTCTTGCTCTGACTCCTGTGCAGCTTTACTTTGCTTTCAGCTTTCTTTGCTGGTTCACAGGACGAATACACTTCACAACTTCCCAGGATCATTGTTTCTGATGAGTTATCTAATAAATAAATGCTGTGGCTTATTCTCTCTTTGTCAGTCCTTGGGTGGAGGATTCTATATCCTTTACTTTGTTCATATAGCCCATCAGAATACTTTCAATGGCTGTGTTCTCTAATTTGGATCGCTACTCATTTGGAATATATGCGTAAGCTTTACATCCAAACACTCGGATGTGCCCTAGACTAGGCTTCGATCCATGCCACATTTCAAATGGGGTGCTTTCAAAGGCTTTTACTTGTTACGCCACTGGCTGTAATGACTGCTTCTCCCCAGTACTTCTTAGGTAGGTTGGCGTCTGACAGCATGCATCTAGCCATTTCTATAAGAGTGCAATTTTTCTGTTCTACTACACCATTTTCTTCAGGAGTGTGTGGTGTGGTGGTCTGTTGTACTTTACCTTGTTTCTTCAGATATGATTCCACTTCCTTAATGATGTATTCCCCTCTGTACATGGCTACAAACTCTTGAAGTTTTTCTGATGTTTCATTCTTGTGCTTCATCAGATAAGTTGTTGTGTACCTGGAATAATCATCAATGAAAGTCAGTAGATATATGTTCCCGCCTGATGTGGGAGTTTTCATTAATCCGCACATGTTGCTATGTATGATCTCCATGGGGTGGGTGTTTTTTCTTTCAGTGGCCTATGGAAGTGGGGTACGTGTGGCCTTCGCTTCTTTACAGCATTTGGCAGGGTAGTACGGTTATATTTTCTGATAAGCGTCTCTTTATCATTTCTATTATGGCTTCTGAGTTTCAGTGCCCTAGACGTCTGTGCCATAGATGGATACATATGTTGTGTGGATTATGAGTGGCTGTCTTGACTTGTTCGTCTGCGGTGGTAAGTCTGTACAGGTGTTCATCCAATTTTCCTTTTGTGAGGTTTTGCTTATTGTTTTGGATTGTACATTCATCACCTCTGAATTGAACTGAGACTGTTATTAGCAAGGGTTTTTACTGAAAGAAGGCTTCATTCTAGGTCTGATACATACAGTACATTTTTCACCAGCATGCTCTGCTTGTCCCCTGATGGTGTGATGCAGTTCAAGAATCCTTGACTGTTACCTTCCGCTGTAATACTTTTCCAGTTTGCTAGAAAGACTTTGCCCTTTGCACTGTGAATCTATTTCTTTGAAGGTCTCAACATTAGTCATGTGACTTGTTGCATCTGAGTCAATACACCATCCACGTGGTATACTGTTCTGAGTCACTTTAAAGGTAGCACTCCATGATCTGACTGCCTTAGCTCTTTCACTTGTAGATGCCTCTCACTTTCTCTGCTCAGCTTTCCAAGATTGAACAATCCTTTTTTAGGTGACCAGTCTTTTTACAGCGAAAAAACGCTCTGTTTTCTTTGTTTTTGCTTTGCGCTTTCATGCACCTTAAGGACTTTCTCATTTTCTTCATTGTGCATATTTTCTTTCCTTCTGTCATATTCATCGATTATTTTTCTTTGGCGTATTCTAGTGTTAGTTCCTGCTTAGGTCTGGTTTCTAGAGTGTTAATAAGAGCACTGTATGACTCTGGAAGGCTGCATAGCAGTAATGCCACCACGTGCTTATCTTTAATTTAATCTCAATTTGCATGTAATGATTTCCAGTATGCATGCATTTCCTGGCCTTTTTCTAGCCTCATTTTATATACTTTGCGTAGCTTGCGTAGCAGATAAAGTTTACTGTTTAGGTTTGAACGCTTATGCAGCTTTTGTAATGCAGTCCACACCAAACACCTTTAGCTGTATTCTCTCTTCTTATTTGGATGACCTGGTCATCTTCCACTAGCAGACTTTTATAATTGCTTTTGCTTGCCTATTCTTGTCCCATTCCTCCGTGGGTCCATTAGTGGGTCTGTCTGTACTCCGTACTTGCCAAAAGTCATCTTTGCTTTGCAGCATTCAAGCTTGAACTTCCATAGCTGGTAGTTGATATTGTTGAGCTTTGCAATTGCAAACTTCATATCTGAACAGCTTGCCATCTTTCAGTAGCTTGAATGCAGCTTTTGTTGACTTGCAGTATTCTATTTAGTGCCTGGGCCCGTAACCTGTTCGTTATGTGTTTTAGATGAAGCACTGAGATCTTGAGGAATGCTGAATTAATTTTTACTTGCTTATTTAGCACATTACATCAGAATACAGCATACAGAGAGAACTTCCTGTATATAATAGATAAGTATGCATGCATACACTAGCATAGCACTACAGCGCCATCAAAAGACATAATTACACAATTAATACAATCATATATATGCTGTTGCATTTACAACAATACCTAGGTTTACACGTGTTTGGTGCACACAAAGGGTATTTAGATCTTCTATGGCTGCTGAGAAATATATCTAAAGCTCTAAGGATTTAAAGTTTTTAAAGTTAAGGTATTTGAACTAAACTAAGGCTGTCCATACACTGCCCACGGGCTCAACAAAAAAAAATTGAGCAGATTCCTCCATCAACACTACAAGTGTGTCGATCGAGGAATCCCCACTGTTTGCATTGTATCCTGACAGCAGCCGCTGGCCACTGTCAGAATACCCAAACACAGCTGGCAGCTCATTGGCTGCCCGTTCTGTTAATACAAAGATTTTCCGGCCGGCTCCTTCAATCAGCTGATGGAGGGATGCCAGCCAAAAGGGTGCTGACAGCAGCATCCACTGTGAGAATTTCTTCTTCTTGAGGATACGGCCGAAATCCACACTCAAATTTCTAATTGCAGTTTCTCCTAAAGTAAAGTAGCTTCCATTTCCTGGTGGAGGAAAACTATAATGGATCATTCTCTTCTTCAGGAAATTATATCTAACAAAGTCTTGTACAAAATATCCTCATGACGAATTAGTGTATGCAAAGGCAAAACTTTGTTTTCAGTTTTTCGGGAGAATAGGGTTCGATTAAAACCCATGTCAGTTTATTTTTTGCTGTCTGTGTTATTTCTCCCTGTCTGTCTTTCCCCATTGGGGAGGTTTCCTTGTGCTTCCTGCCCTAAAGATGCAGCAACAAGTGAAATGAGATCTCTACATAGGGAGGGGAATTCTCATTAACAGTTGTAACTGCAGTAGGTATCCCCATAGGGAGATTTACACTCACCTTTTGATCTGGTGACAACTGTAAAATTTTATATTTCCCATCACTTTCTATTTCGGAGACTATGGCCACCCGGACGATTAGAGAGTATGAATCTGTCCAAATGGAGCACACCCATCCATAAAACTTGACAGGCGCTCTGATCCTTTCCCTTTAAAAAAAAATGTTTTTAATAGTACATCACGGACACAAGATAGTAATTCAGGAATCTTGGGTTATGCTGCTTCCTTCAGGTAATTGGACACTAGCAAACAATAGCAGTAATAAGAGGTCAGTATAACCCCTCCTACTCCCAACATGCCTATGTTTTTTGCTAGAGTGCTAGGAGAACAGATGTAAAAGAAGCAAACCCTGTATTTTCCTTCCTGGTTTCTTTCCTCCCTCTTAACCAGAACATTGTGCTTGTGTCTTTGTCCTGCTACATAACATTCAAAGAAATGTCCTGTTCTGTCAAGGTATGGTATGCGCTGTTTAAGTCTCTCAGCACCAGCTTCCTTTAGACAAACTCTCTTCTTATTGCTCCTGAAGGTGCCTGTAAGGGACAAACTGCTTCACGTTCCACTATCTTCAGATGAATTATACAGCTCATCTATCATGCCTACAGACTTAAAAGGAACCTTTCCTTCAACTTAAAGATGAACTTTTATCTTCAAAATAACAAGGACACCTTTAGAAATAATTAGTAATGACAATTTACAAACACATACGTATAGATAATTGCCGGCTGTTGATTCTTTGCATACCTTATTTTAATTTTTCTCCCCTATCTTCTCACAGTGGCCATTTTTAATTTTAGAGATTAATATATTTCCCTTTACTTCCTGGAAATCTGGCACATGTGACTAGGACATGTGACCATGAACATCATCTCAGGGAAGGAAACTGCCTTTCCCTGAGATCTTGTGAGATTGCACTGCTGATGTACCCAGGATGCAACGCTTGA